CATTACTAGTTACTCCAAATGTGTGAAAGGTGTATGTCAACAACAGCGTTATTGAGGTCGTGCGAAGTGACATGTGCAGCGAATATCCGTGATCTTGCTGTTGTTTCACAAATCTAAACATGACATCACAGCGAGAACAATAAGTATCGTTCTTTGAATAACTGAGTACTCCGAAGAGATAGAGCTTTATTGCCAGAAGAACGAATTGTGTGTTGATTGAAGATTAAACACTTGACAGATCAGACCATGTGCCTTGAGCTGTAAGGTAGGAGTTGGAAGTTCACGTTTTGCAGCAAAACACCTCAAGGTGTTCAGGATGCCAAGCTGTGATGTGGTGTGATTGATAGATGGAAAAGTTTCTGTTTCGTTACCCACCCGACTCACCCTTGTTTCATCGTTTTTTCATTGTCAAATCACAGACTTCAAATGAACCAGTCGCTGCATGCTTTCGATGCCTGGTCAGGGACACACTGTCAGACTATCGGCGTGCACCGAAACACAAGATGCTTTACCACACAGTGTGGGATGAGAACAACTAGCTGTGTGCTTCAACAGCGATGTGCTAGACTTTTTGTCTCTGACAATAGCGTGGCTCGGTTGGCAATGAGCAGCGCCTTTCACCGGACGGCGCCGGGCTGTATCGTTCTTGTCGGTTCATGCTGCATGCTGCTGCCCATGTGATGGCGATGCGCATTAAAGCACTACGACGGGGGGGCATGTGCCTACAATCGTGCAACGCGACAAACTGGGCCTACGAACCTTGTATATGTGTTTGTTGACGAAGCTGTTGCGCCACCAAGAGGACGGAAAGTCGTGCTTGTCCTTCATCCACATCCCGAAGACCGCAGGCAGCTCCGTCGAGCGTGCATCCTTGGAGGCCCGATGAGTTTTCAACTTTCGTGAGGTTGAAAGGCTTGAAAGGCTTTTAGGCATATGCGGTCGATCTTCAGCCTCAACCCGAGAACCCGAACTGCTCTTGCATTTGCAGCTTTTGATCCATACAGTTTCAAGGATGACTCATGAGGGTTGGGTTCAAAGACAGTTGTTTACTGGAGTTAGGCGATCTCAGGCTGTAGGCTACTATGACAAGTGTTGCAGAAACTCCACAAAGAGTTCCGAAAGGAAGACGCGGTTTTCCCCACATCATTGTGTGGGGTTTTTATCGTGTAGGGCGGACTCCCATCCCGTCCCATCCCGTCCCATCCCATCCCATCCCATCCCGCCGGCGCTCACGCCCACCCGCAGCGCACCACACACAGACGTAATTACACACACCACGGCGCACACACCAGAGCACATGCTCGCACACTGAGGGATTTCGGCAACGAGAAGAGGTCGGGATGTTGTCATTCAACATGAAGCATCACACTCGACGGCTGCTGCTGCGTCATTCAGCCAGCTACGAAGACAACCAATGTACAGCGAAGATGCTAGCTGCTAGATGCTTCTTTACGTTCAGTATCACGTGCAGGTACACACAATTGATCAGACTGTGCTTCCACCTTCAAGCATAGCTTTGTTAGGCACCGTTTGCTTGAAGGCCGCTGCCCCCCTGCGCAATGTAACGTGACGCAAGAGGAGTGACCCTCTGTTCCCATGTGCTAGGGAAGTTCACACACACACACAAAACCCCAAAGGGCAGAAAACATGCTCGCAACCTTGTAGTGTCAATGAGGATAAATGGCGACGTGCCGTTTTTCTCTGCAATGCAAACATGGTGGCCGCATTACTTGTTGATGCTGCTTCACGTTTCTGTGAAGCTGGGGGAAACATATATGGCGGAAAGAAGAAGCGCTTGTACTGCAATCTGCTCAGCTGGAAAGCGGTAAGTTCACTCACGTCCAGTGTGTGAAAAATCTATTGCATAAGTAAATCTTGAGGTTGGGTGGTGTTCGTGCGTCCGTGGTGCGCAAAGTTGTTGGTACTGTGTGTCGGGAATGGTGGTGGTAGGTGAAATGGCAATGGCCGCGCCAGCCTGCTCGTACAAGTATCTTGGCACACGCCTTTTCGCGTGGAGGTGCGGTGTGCGCTGCAGTCTTGTTGGCGATTTTGATTGTATCAAACGCAATGGTGCTGAAATCTGAATCAGTGGGAGATGCAAAAGCATGCTCCGATGATGCACTCTGCCGTGATCGTGTTTTGTGTTTTTCTTCTTCGTAGAGGTCTGAAAAGATCTGGATGTTGTTTTTGCCCGACTTCTTGCCAGACTTCTTGTCGGACTTCTTGTGTTTCTTGGTCTTCTTCCTGTGTTTGGTGTGATGTCGCCGCTGGGCTTTCGGGTGGCAGGCTAGCTGTCCGTTGTTGCTGCATGTGCGTGATAGAGCTGTCCATCTCTACCCACCATACCCACCTGAAAAACGGCTGCAGCAACTTTTGACACGCTCACAACTGCAGAAAGGCATCAAAGGTGATGTTTGATCTATGTCAACACAACTGTTGAAGCAATCGACATGTGCCTGTCTGTTGTAACAACAGATGTTTTCTGATAAGCATTGTCATCGCCGCAGTTATTGGCTGTTTGGAGGACCTTTGCCTTTTGCAGTATTGTTGCCTTTTGTGGCTGCTTCAAGACGGATGTGGAGATCAAGTGTCTGAGCCTCAAGGTTCCGAACTGTCTCTTTAAGTTCGGTGATCTCCTGACTCGCTGGCACAATGAACTCGGCTAAATGACTCTTGAGGACTTGATCTCTGGTACCGAGATTCCAAATGTCCATGTATGTGACTCTATGGAATGTTTGGGTTTTGAGCCACACGCTGTTGCTTTGTAAAGGTTGCGGATGGACGCACACGATGCCATGACAAATGTGTGCTGAGCGCTGCACGGTTATTCACTCACACACACACACAAGCCAAAGCCTTGTCTGCGCTTGTGCTGCCAAAACATAGCACAAAGCAATGTGCAAGAAGCTCGATGTACACTCTAGCTCTACTCTGGAGCCTCCGGATCAGTCACGTTCTGACGAAGCAATCCTTCCATGACATCTAGTTGTTGTTTGCATCTTGTGATCATGGAAAGTACAAGCTGATGTTGTGACACCTGCAGAATGTTAATTTGGTGCAACAATGTCTCAACCTTGTTGACGGTCTCGGTGATGTTGTGCTGGAAGGACAAAATGTCATCTGGGTGCTGGTCCGTGTCGGTCTCTTGTTATGTGTCTTGTTGGTCAGGGTGTACATCTGGAGGTGGTCCCGGAGGGGTAGTGGGTGGTTTTGACATCACGTACCGTATGTGAGTCGTGTTCTTCCTCCGTAATCTCAAATGCCAACCGCATTACCTGCCGATGAAGAGGTGGTGGCGGTGATTGCTCGGGTTGGTGCTGCCGAGATGCTCGACCTCTTTCTCCAGGTGGAGTGCGGAAACGCTGTTGTCTTCGATCTCTTCCTCGGTGTTTGTGGGCGCTTCGGCGGATACGACTTCGGAATGGCGCCGCCCACCGGGTTGCGGAACGTGGTGCTACTGGATTGTTTATGTTGTCATGGACGTGATATGAGCCTGCAGCACTGTGATAGATTGGCAACGTCACATGCATGGTTCGCAACATTCACTCATGCAAGGCGCACAAACACTCAATCATGCAACGGACTGTACTGCTTCGTTTTGTCCGAGAGCGATGTCAGTGTATCCGGCTGCGCAATACATATGTCGGATGCCCGCGATGGCCTCTCTGGCATAGCTGGGGGAGCACGCTGACTTGCTGCACCCTTCGTACTCTGCTGCGTAATGTTTGTGTCGTTGTTGCGAATTGTGGGTGTAAGATGTCGGCAGTGGTGATGTTGTTGTGGTGGGTTAAGCTGCATCCGGTGGGATCGATGGCGAATCCCAGGAAGATGTTGGCCGGTTCAGTTTCAAGCTGGACCGGTGGTTTGTAGAATGCATCATGTGCTAATTTTTTGAAAGGTGGGATTGTTACAAGGTGCTTGGGGAGTAAGAGCATTTTGTTGTCGACATATCTGGTGGCAAAGGAGATTGCTTGTTCGTGGTGGGATTGTTGTGGAAAGTGTTTGTGGTTGTACAGAAATTGATGGTAGCTGAGACCACAAGATCGCATAGTGCTGGGCTGCATGGGGATCCCATGGGTGCTCCTCTCTGTTGTTTTATCAGTGTGTTGCCGATTGTGAGATAGTTGAGTAACAGTAGGGCCCTAATGAGAGTCGGGATGTCTTTGAGATGTATGCTGTGCTGTGTCCTTCTGCGTGGGATCGATGTGGAAGATATGAGCACGCTTCCAGTTTTTGTCCTGGTGCCAGCGTGCCATGATGTGGTATGCTGCAAGAAAGCGATCTTTGTCGACAGATGTGAAGAATCCGGCTAGATCCTGGTTGTAGAGAAGGTATTCTCCATGTTGTCGTGTTGCTTGTGTCTACTCTGAAAGAACTGAGCTGTTTGCTTCAGTTGAGTGATGGCATCGCCTTGGTGGAAAGAGTGGGGGCAAGCCTGATTGGTCATCAGCAAGATGACATCTGCGAGGGCCTCCCACAACGGCCGGCCCATGGTGTTGAGAAAGGCGACAAATGGGTTTTTCCTTTGGTGTAGTTCGTGCCAGCACGAGCTGTTCGATACCATACGTGGCCACGACACATGTTATAGCGACATTCGCCGTATAGTGACGAATCGGGGCCTTTATTGTGGGAGCATCTGGTTGAGCCAAAATAAAACAAGCACTCTATCTCTCGCTGTCTCTGTGTGTTGTGTGTTCAATCTCTGGATATATGGCCTTGCTCAAAAGCAAACCCTTAAATTTAGGGATTGGTCGTGGTTGCTTCGTTTTAGTTTGGGGTTAAAACTGCTGTTTCTTCTTGAACATTCATATATGTCGACATATATATATATACACATCTACATACATCTACATCTACATCTACATCTACATCTACATATATATACATCTACATCTACATCTACATCTACATCTACATCTACATCTACATCTACATATACATATACATATACATATACATATACATATACATATACACACACATATATACATACATATATGTTAAGTATTATATGTCTTAAAACATATTTTGTTTTTTATGAGCCTTGAATTCGGATCGTTGGATTCGCTGTTCTCCGGGTTCGTGTTGGTTGGGGGCCACGAAGATCGCATAGATCGCCTTTTCTTCCCCGATGCACAGCGATACGGGAGTGAGAACTGCAGTGCCCACTTCAGCATCACATGACTGCTCACGTGATTCGGGTGGCTGGCAAGTGCCAGCTGCTTGCACCGCCGGACAGCATCCTCCCCCATATAGTTGGCACTGTAACGAGGGTTGAGTCTGTACACACTCATGAAATCGATCACCTCGTGCTCAAACATATGTTGCTTGGGCCTGACTTTCCATCTTGAGACATTTAAAGCCAAGGCTCTTGAAGCCAATCTATCGTAGCAGGCCCGGTACAAATAATAAGCAGATTCGCAGCAGCGGCACTGTTCTTCTGTGAAGTAGCGACCATTTTCCAATTGTGTCTGCTCAAAGATCATGAGCCCAGTCACCACACCGAAAATGAGCCTCGGACTCAAGCTTCAGTAGTTAGGATTATAGGGAGACCCTTGGTGATAGAAGCCCTCTCAATAAGTTTCCTTTCAAGAAAAGCCACAAGTAGGGTTAAGAAGGGTGCCCTTTCATGGTTTTTCTTAACTCTACTTAGGAAGTTTGCATTTCAGGATATTGAAGGCGAAATATAAAACATACTTGTCGAGTAGCCTTAGGAAAGGCTAACCTTTGGAATATATGTACCTATATATATATATATACATATATATACACATAGATAGGGATTCTAGAACCACCCGAAAACTACAGGTTACCTATACTCTACTATAGGTTATACTTACTCTGAAAAGTAACAGGTTGAACTCAAATAATTATTTCATATAGCTGGCTCCGGCACTTCAGATCCTCAGGCTGCTCCGGATCGCCCTGCAGCAGGCTTTCCACCAGCCAGTGCAGCCAAAAAATCATGTACTTGGCTGCAGCAGCTCGCATGATCTTCTGCGACACGGTCGCATAGTCAGCTTTCAGAGCCTCGTTCGTGAAGAGTTTCCGTTCGGCCCTGTCCTGAATGCCCCACCGTTGGCAGTAGCCCTTATAACTGTGCCATCCATGCTCAAGGCGACTGTCCCGGGACGATCCCGGCCAGGGGAAAGGATTGTCAGAGAAGTCCAAGAGAATGGATGTGAGCACATCACCAAAACAAGCTAAGTGGAGGATGTGCATGACATCGGGCAGTATACCTTATTGGGTACAGGCAACAAGGGGCATCAAGGACAGGGCCGAGTGGAAGCTCTTTACTAATGAGACTCTGATAGCTGACTACAAGATTGTGAGGGCAGCAGCAGCTTAAGTACATGATCTTCTGGATGCACTGGTTCATGGACAGACTACTGCAAAGCAATCCGAGGCATGCTGTGCATCTGAGGGCCCGAGACAGGGTCAAGAATCATCTTAAAATTACATTAGGGTTTAGGGTGCTTTGAAAGTTTAGGCGTTGTTTAGATGTGCCGGCTTAAAATACAGTCATCAGGAGAGGGCAAGACTCGCCAAGGGCAGTAGTTGCCACTCATCCCAGCAAAGGGAGACCAGCCATGGATCCGGATGAACTCGTCATTTCCAGAGCATAGCCTCGATCGGTCGACATTAAGCTGCCACTGTAAAAGTTTAGGCTGTAGTGGCAAAAATTATGGTGATGGCGAGCTGCGTGCTGCGATGGTGGGCTGCTCGACCAAAGTTCGTGAACAAAAGTTCACGACTATTTGGTTCCGGGTCATCGGGACGAGGATGCTTCAGAGTCCATTGCAATGCCTGCAGGGATGACTCATCTCAAGCCTTGACAGAATTTGCCGGTGTTTATCTATGATTCGGTCCGGATCCTGCCTGACAGTAGTAGCAAGTTAATTTCCTTGTGTAGTTTCCTCAGGTTTATGCAAGAAAGCACCACTACATTGCAAGAATATAGTTAACTTTAAAATCGCTAGCCATTGGTTACAGACGAGTAGCTTTGCAGCCCAAAGCATTTGGTGATGAATTCTTGGTCCATCTGGAAAGCATCCAAAACGACAGTATACTGTCCACAGATGCGGAGACCGGCTTTTGCAGATTGCCAGCCCTGTAGTTGCTCGCCCTTCATACCCGTTGAAGGATATATTCCCTGACCTAGGCTCGGTATCTCCCTTAGTTCGTACACGAAAATAAAGAAAATCAACCAAACCGGACAACTGACACTTCGAATCCTTAGGACTGATCGAGTGGCTGAGAACCTCGAGCGACCAGGCGATGGTCTCCATAATCAGGTGTCTTGCTTTATTGGTGCATTTCCCAGACATACAGCTCAGCCTCAGATGAAGGGTTTGGAGTTGAGGGTCAGGGTTTAGGGTTCTGCATAGTTGATGAAGGGTTTAGAGTTTAGGGTTAGGGTTTAGGGTTCTGCATAGTCCAGGGAACAGGAAGCGAGTGCTCATACAGGATTTCTCCTCTCCCAGCACGGACTGCAAAAGGGAGATCTCGAAGTTCTGAGAACCTATATGTAAAGCTATGGCATCTTCAGTTTGCAAAACAAGAGGTCTCTCCCGACAGTTTGATATCCTGCAGCAAGTTTCGATAGCTCTCAGCTCCGTCCCCGTACAGTCGTACAGGTACGATAAAATCGTCGGCATCCCAAAGGGCCTGAGAATAGAGCAGGACCCTGGAAGCACAACACAAAGTTACAAGGCCGAGCAGCTGGGTGATTGAACCACCAATGCGAAGCGAACATTCTCATGTGTCGGCAGTATTCTCGGATCTCCTGTGTCGTTTAGAACAAGTTGCAGCACACATTTCAAACCAGGAACACACAATCGGAAGTTATGGACACAGAATCTCCGCGTGCAGACGGCCTCTGGGTTTCCAAAGAACTTGTGAAACAACTCCCGGTCGAAATCGTAGATGCAGCCCATCACTTCGTGAGGGAGGAACATGCTGTGCTGATACCAACCAGACACTACATCGCCAGCTGCATCCAAGTTAACCTCGATTGATCTGTATGTGACCATTAGAATCACTAGACGAATGCAGTCTAGGAAAGCCAAGGCCCAAACATAGGGCACCCAAATCTTGTGTGGCGGTGGAAGAACTTTGCCTCAAAAGCAAAGCATATATAGAGCCTATGCAATGTTTCAAGGGCCATAAATGTGCTAGCTGCTAGTAGTTACACAATTCAATGGTTTATTTGCAGATAAGTGTCGCCACGACTGTTTCAGAGACCATGCTTCCAGGACGGGGACGTGTCCCCATTGTGTTTTCTTTGCATCCAGCCTCCTCGCTAGATCTAGCAGATCAGCCCTTAGTTGGAATTGGGAGGCTGATGTTTGCCAAGCTCTGGGTTCACCTTTAGGTAAGATACGGCACCAGCATTTCTGGTAGCTCAAGCAGGCGACCTCGTGCTATGCGAGACAACATAGATATGCGAAATGATCCTCCGAGCAACAAGCTGCAGTGCTTCAGACGGCCAGCACTTTTTAGGGTTCGGGCTGGTAGCACTGCAGAGGTTCTTCGTAGCGACCTGCAACAACTAACCAATGCTTTTGGAAGTTACTCAGTTACTCATAGTGCACACTGATTTTAATCTGCATCCGAGGCACATCTCCAGTAGATATGAAATTCAATATATCCTGAACGGTCTCCTGAATGTACCCTGTGATCCATGAACCGCCCGAGGCAGTCATTGGCACACAGACTGAAACATGAGTCTTGGCAGAAGACCTATAGGATGTAGGGTTTCGACCTTTGCAGCTTTGGTTCTTAGGTTTGGAGATACAGGGGCTTGTGGGGATCAAGGTTTGGGGCTAAGGGTTGCGAGTTTAAGGCGGATGAAACAAAGCGAGGACAAAGCGGCATTGCAGATGAAGGTTTGGGGCTAAGGGTTTGGTTTGGTATGCGTTGATTTTGGGGCTCTAGGCCTTTGGAGTCTAAGGTTGTATGTATATATATATATATATGGGGCTTAAGGGGATCAAAGTTCGGGGTCAAGGGTTTGGTTTGCTGTGTGAAAAATTTCGGGGCTAGGCCTTTGGAGTGTAAGGGTTAGGGCAGGCTCCGGGTTTAAGCTCAATACTGAATGTATAACATGTTTCGCCAGGGTTCCATAGTGGTCTTGGGCCTCAAAGCAAGAAGACTTGCAAGCTTCGAGATCTGAATGATTCCTGTGGGTCGATTGCAAAGTATGAAGCTCCCGAAACGGCTAGCCAGATCATTTTGCACCCCGAGTCGCTCTTCGAGACACATGTGAATGCTACCGGCCATCCCGTTGTGACTGCTTCTATAGCAGGCTGCATGCAGGGCACCCCGTTTAGAGCTTAAGGAGTCTGTTTGACTAAAAGGCTCGATTACATTACACCTGCAAAACCCACTCCAGCAGTCGCCGGGATCGCCACCCCAGTCGAGGCACTTGTGCTCGCTGCACGGTGCCACGAAAACGTGGATCAGGCCCGGGCCCGCTTTTGAGGGGGCTCGACATTCCAACCCTCATTCCCTTCATCATTCTCTTCATCCTCGGCCCACTCTTCACCATCCTCATCTGCCTGAGCCTCCTCTTCTTCTTCTGGCCAGTCCTCTGCTTCGGGCTGAGTAGTAATGGTGGCCTCGGTCTTCTGTTTCTTCAACTCTTTCTCTTGTTCTTTTTCCATCTTCCGTTTCTCGGCAGCTTTGCCTGATGAGATAGCTTCAGGGCACAGTGGTTTGCGAGAACAAACAACACATGTGCAAACTACGAATGCGAAGCTGAGACACGTCGTTCGTGAGTCACGAACACACCATCGGCATGGTTCACATCAGTCGCATATTCCTGTCGGGAGCAGCAGGTAGAATCCCATCTAGGGTTGTAGGATTTGGGGTATGGTGTTGCATGGGGGTTAGAATCCAGGCCTGAAACTTTAGGGGTCGGGGTCGTAGGATTTGGGGTATGGGGTTTGGGGTTGGAATCCAGGCGTGAAACTTTAGGGGTCGGGGTCGTAGGATTTTGGGGTTTGGGGTCTAGGCATGAAACTTTAAAGGTCGGGGTCGTAGGATTTGGGGTATGGGGTGGGAATCCAGGCGTGAAACTTTAGGGGTCCGGGTCGTAGGATTTGGGGTATGGGGTTTCGGGTTGGAAGCCAGGCCTGAAATTTAAGGGGTCCGGGTTGATTCTTGTACGGGAGAGACGACCCTTTATCAAAGTATACACAGCCGTTTCTATACCTACAACCCTAAATCCTAAACCCTCAACCCTAAACCCTCCACCCTAAACCCTAACCGTATAAACCCTAAACCCTAAACCCTGACCCTATACACCCTAAACACTAACCCTATATAAACCCTAAATTTCTCGGACTCCACAGCCCGAGCCATCTGAAAGACCCCCCCAGAACAACTCTTGTACAAACCCTGCTGTTTGCACCTTCAACAGCTGGGCATGACTGTCAAGGTAGTCTCTGGCTTGGGACAGCGTCTCGGACGAGAACAGCATGGTGTTGCACCTTGGAAACAGAGCATGTATGGAGATATTCAAATACACCCTGCCTCAGAACACCCTCACATATGTTGTGGCGAGAAGCTCATTCAGGATCTGGTAGCACACTTTGTTGACCTCGCCCATATGCTTGATATCCGCCTCAATCACTTGGAAAGAACAAAAGTAAATAGAGATGCTCAGTAGCTGATTCCTCGGCAACGACTACACACATTCAAATGGCCTCTTGTCGTTTCAACCCCGTGCTCTTCAGGTTGGCAGCTGCGGTCATCGCTTTGTCGGCAAGGGCTCGTAGCCTGCATCATCCCCTCTCTATGACACTAGTGCAGAGACATGCAGCACAGTCATACCCAATGCAAGCGAGGATCTGCTGTAGGTCTCTCTGGAAATCTCTCTTTTCTTTTTCTTCTGGCGTGGGCTCCTGCCAACATGTATAGAAGAAAGGTGAGAGTCGAGACAGACAGAGAGAGAGAGAGAGAGAGAGATAGAGAGAGACAACAACGGGTCCTTGGTCTTTGTTTTGCCTTTTCCTTTGCCTTTGGCAAAGGAGCTTTTTCCTTTGCCTCCCTTGCCCATACCCTTCTCCATGGCTTCCCCAAGACTGTCGCTGCTGCCGAATGCATTTAGCTTGCCCTCCAGAGCCTCAGCAAAGGAAGCACGAGCAGCCTTGTTGGCTGGCACCTTGGATACTGCGGAAATCTTGCTGCCGATCTCCTTCTTGTGGGCACCTGGGCTTCATCAGGTTTCGGGCATGTAGGACAAGGGTTGAGGGTTTGGGCTTCCGGGTTTTTGGGCGAAGTCAGTGTTGTGGCTTCGCGTGCAAACAACTGGGCTTTGCCGAGGTATATATGTGCTCGAGGGCTTGAAACACTCGGGGTTTCTCGAGGGTCTGCAAAGAAGCTTAGGGTTTAGGTTTAGGGCTTTAGG